CTAGTGTTTTCCTCATGACTACAATAGCAACGCGCAGAACCCCGCGGGGGCAGCAGGGTTCCCCTCCCACAGACAGTCAGAAAGCCGCATTCTCCTGTGGGATCCCTCCTCTGCTTCCCACACGTCAGAGGCTGACTCCTAACCAGGCTAAAGTGGAATCTTTACAGAAACAGAAACTGAAAAACCTGTGCCCAGATGATCAGAGGGAGAGGTGGGCACGGCTTCTCAGGAGTTAAACTTGGGAACACTGGAAGCCCTTTGACGTTGAGTGGAGGAAAATTCATTTCTCCAAGTTCCTCACATACATATTCAACCATCATTCCTGCTGATTCAATAAATAAATAAAATAGTCAATGGTTTTCCTCTCTGCACTCTTCTGTTTCCTAGGGAAGCCAGAGAGTAGAACAGAGGAGAGAAAAACAAGAAGAACAAAGCATAGATCCAGCCATACCTCCTAGGACAGACCCCACAACTCTCCACAGAAAAGCAACACGAGGAGAGACCAAGGCGAAGAGTGTGTCATGTGAGACTAGAGAAAGATCATTCTGGCACCTACAGAGTTAATGGCATAAGAAATTATGGTTCCTCCCTCCCACCCTAGACTTGACAGATGAGGGTGGTAAAATCCTGAGCTACCTCAATGAAACATGCCTTCAATTTTATTCTTCCTTTTTAGAAGAGAGGTAGACCATATCTATTAAAAAAAAAAAATACTCTGGGTCACCTGAAAGTATTTCCAGAGATTCTCAGAGTTGGTACACTATGGAGGATTTAATAATAGAACCATCACACTCCTTAGTATAACGTAAACCCAGTCCTTCCAGAATTGTTTTAATGCATTTTGAAAGACGTTAATTAGACACCGGAAGCTAAAGATAGGCCACGCAAGAGGTTCCCTAGTTCTTAGCCCCAGTTTTAGATGTTTGCAGTTTAACAGACATATTTTGAACAAATAATTGCATGGCCAACTGTAGATATAAAAGAGATGCTGGAAGAATCTGGATATAGGTTATTAAGTGGAAGGGGTTTCTGGGGTATTTCCTGGGCACTGCTATAGCATTAGGGAAGAAGTACAAACTATTCTTCAGTCTCCAGGAATTTGAAATCCCTGCCTTTGCAGACCCTTAAGGAAATGTCTCATACCAAGAACATAATTAGGACCCCTATTAAAGAGGTTCGAAGTAGCACGATAAAAAATTATACAAGTTACCTAAATTATCTACTTATTACAAATATCTAGTAGATTTTGATCAAGTTTAGATGACTCTTAAAGATGTTTATCCAAGAAAGTCTTACTTTCTAAATGAAAAAAAAATATGATCAAGCTTTTTAAGAAACTCCTTTGTGGACACTGTCAACACCTGGCAATGGCTGGGCAGGTAACTGGGTGAGGACACCCGGCGTTGCTCTCAGGCATCAGTGGGCAGGGGAGGCTGCTCGGGCTATGAAAGAAGCTGGGAACAGAAAAGCTGGAGGCAGAAAAGCCCGTTGGATTTCTGAATTACAACTGCAGAGTGAGACCTCTACATAGACCATTTTCCTACAAAATCTCGCAACATCTCCATTTTATACGTGCCATGCCCTGGCTAACCATACCAATGCCAAGAGGGAACATTAGCCTCACTTTACAGGCAGCAAAAGCAGCTCAGAGAAGTCTTCTCATATCAGTTTGCTCAGGGTCCCCCATCCAGGTAGAGCCAAACTGTGCCCTTAACCACTGCTATCACACAAGTAATCTGAGTACATTCATTAAAATTGTCACTTGACAATAATTTACACATCCACAATTTATTTCCTATTATATGATTCCCTACGACGCTATGTATCTAAGTTTATTACCTAGATGTTAATGACTCTGTGCTGATGGAAGGGTAATCCCATTTTTAATTATTATCAGTACAATGTAAATACATAGGATGCTCCTTTTTTCCATGGCAATGAAAAAAAAAAAGATTTACCCACAGTCATTCTAATGATTTGCCTGAAATCTCAGGCTTGGGTTGCAGGACACAAGATCTGAAGGAGCTATGATGCAACGTGATGTTTCCTTCCCTGTGGGGCAGCAAATGAGTTCCCCACAGCAGATCCGACCCCAGGCGGCCAGAGCTGTAAAGTCACCACTTAACTCCCTGGGAGAAAACCTTCTGCAGACAGCAAGACGACCCGTGGCAGTCTGGAGCTGGACGAATCAGTTAACGCGTTCAGCCCCAGGGGCTGCCTGTGACCTTCTACACCCAACCGGCGAATGAATTGCTAAGGACATTTCTAATCACTTTGCTTTTTATCAGATGTGATTGACTACTGCCAAATTTAAACTTTTTTTTTAAAGGAAACTCTTAATTAAAAATAATTCAGTGCCTCACTTCTCAAGCATTTATGGAGTACTAACCATGTGGGAGTGAGAGAGAATGGCAAACCACAACAGTCAGATGGGGTCCCTGCATGCATTGAAACTATTCCCTTGAGACTCTTGTGTTTGCTCCTGTAGAAACAAGTAGAGCAAGTATCCTTGAGGTGTTTATTGCTTCTGCGTTACCATCTTGGAAACTTCAAAATGAATATAATTGCCGCTGTCTTAACAACACATGATTCACTACATAGAACATCCTGGGCATTTCGGTTTTCTCTTTTCACTTGATACATTACTATTTACATCACTTGATACTTAAAATCAAGAAATGTGTTTATCCAAGAGTGGGAGAGAAACAATGAAACTGATGAAAACAAAAGAAGCAATGCCAGCACAGCCTACACAAGGTGGAAGCCTGGATACTGATGCAAGGATCACACATCAAATCACACGCGACTTGCCGTGCTTCTGCCTCAGCGTCACTGGCCCCACTTCTGATTTCCCTCGAGTGTCAGACACCCGCGCACCACCTGTACCCAGGACGCTGACAAGGGCCTAACGGGCTGCAGGGGTTATGCAGGTGCTTACAACGCTAAGGTTTCTGAAACATGGTGAGCAACTGGAACCCAGCTCTGGAACCCCCTCTGATGGCTCCTTCTCCAGGGACCCCTGGGATTGGTCTCCCTGAATGTCACACCACATCGCTGGCACTGGTGCCCCCATTTCCTCCATCCTAACTCTTATCCTTGTCCCGTGCCTGCACCCCATGCCTCCCCATCCCTCCAACTTGCCTATGGACAACGGCTTCTATGCTTCACACCTCTTGCTCCCCTGGCCTATGGAGGCAAATTCTCAAACCTGACCCAGCTTTCTCCACAGTTGACCTGAGTCACCTTTCCAGTGTTAACCCCCTCTGTCATTTCTTTACTGGTGCCTTATAAATACTGTGCCACCATTAAGATGAATTATGTAGCTTCATATATACCATTACAAAACAATGGCTAAGATATAGTAAGTGAGAAAAGCACAGTACAGTATAAAGCAGTGTGGACAGCATGCTGTAATTTCTGTTTAACAACAAAGAACGTGTCCACAGATGTGCACACATACCCCTCAGATATGGCAGAATATCTATGGATGCACACACAAGACTGGAACCAGTGGCTGTCCCTAGAGAGGGAAACTGGTAGCTTGGGTATACAGGAGGTGGGAGGGTCATTTTTTACCACCTATGCGTTCCCTTTTTGTAACTTTAAAATTTTACATTCTGTGTCTATATGCATCCAAACAAAACACACTTAAAAATTATACCCTTGTGTTCAGTTTTAATGTTCCTCTTTCATGCCCCCAATAAGCCTTGCACTTACTTGCAGTAACTTTCTGCCTGTTTCCCTTACTCACCTCTGTGTAACTAAATGCCACTTACTTTGTGCATAGTTCCTTAACTTCAGGATATTTTCACAGTTGCATATAGTTCCTTAAACGTCACGATACGTTCACAGCATGCTACCTACCTTATTTATGTGTCTATTTCATACTGATACTTGAATACATTTTACTTCCCTAATTATTTTTAAGCATTTGGAAGGCTGGCTTTTTGTTTGTTTGTTTTTGTTTTTAGGATTAAAGCTTGGTTCACAAAAAGCACTTCTCCAATAATTCAAGATATAAACAACCCTCACGATTGCAAAAGCGTACATTGCTCTTCAGACTACAAGGTGCTCAAAGATGTCACAAGAAAGGGAAGAATGTCACACGGATTGCTTTAAGGACAAATAGTGAAGAGATCATCATTCCAATTTGAAAATCAGAAGCCAAATACTTCTTACATTTAATTCCCATCTTATATCCAACTTCTGAACACTGGCCTCTGCATCACGCCTTCCAGAGAGCTGGCCTCTCGGTTTCTCCAACATCTCTAATTATCAGGTTTTCTCTGGGCTGCTCTTTGCGTCACATGACTATTTCAAGCAGCTGTATCATCACCTCTCCCGTTCTGTCTTCCACCTTAAATTACACATAGTCACCTTTCCTTTAGAATATTTGCAGGTCATTTGATCTACATTTTTTTGGTTAACTTTTATTTTACACTATACTCCTAACAAATCTTTCCCCCTTTCCCAGATATAGTATCATGTGATCACAGTCATGAAAAAAAGACATCCTAGGAATTTATATTTCAGCCCAAAAGTTAGGACATTCAAACAACAACAACAACAACTCTACTATTGGTTACATGGTGTCACTCAATAGTTTAAACATTTTTTTTAAAGAAGCAAAATATTAACAATGAAAGCTAATGCAGTGATTAAATGCTTATTATATAAAATGCTCAGGTAGATACAAATAAGTTGCATCACTCAGTAACCTCCTGACATAATGCTTTTGTAAAGCAGCTTTTCTGTTTCACAACATTAAGCAAATCATGTAGCAATTTCTTTGAGCTGTCACAGATACAAAGCTAAAATCTACTTACATTAAGGGTTCAAAATAGTACAGATTATGTTCCAGCAGAACAATAGTAATAAGATATTTTTAACCTCAGGAAAAAAAAATACTCCACAGCTATCTGAATATAAAATAAAATACTATAAGATAATTAAGTTATTAAAGATCTTAAATTTTTTTAATAAAAGATCATCTTACTTACATCAAGAGAGCCTTCATTTATAACAATCATTCCCATGTTCTTCCTCAAAAGTTTGCAGGAATGTCCTATGTCCAAACAGAGTAAATTGATATAATTAATTTCTCTAGAGAGAAGAGGTGAAAAAGTTAAAGTAATAATACTAAAAAGTCTAAATTTTATTTAATTTTACCCATTTTATTTGATAAAATTAAAATTTTATTTATTAATTTTTTTAAGGAGTGATGGCAGTCAGCTGTTTTCCTGGTTTGCAGGAAGTTTAAAAAAGAAATACTCTTGCTGGTTGTAAGAGGGATAAGATACAAGGACCTCACCTGCCTTTCTAAGACTGTCTTGATAAACTAGTATGGAAAGAGATGGGTAATGATTCTCAATGTCCTGAAAACTGATAAATGTGGATGGAATATCCCTCATGATGACCAACATGAAGAGCAGAAGATGGGCCAGTGGTGGTTTTGGGAGAAGGGGGCAGGGTGGTTGTCTGGTCATCTCTTGGACCACCGATCCCACCCCTATCTCCTGCCCTTGGACTTTTATGACAACCTCTTCTCTCCTGCCCTCTCCTGCTTTGCTGCACTTGCTGAAGAGCAAAACCACTTGCTGATTAAACCAACTCTGCCTACTCTGCACCTGTCCACCTAGAGCTGAACGTGGCTGTAGAAAACCAGGCAACCCCGCTGGCCCATCTCACATTTAAAACAATACCATCTACACTCACTCCCTTTGTGATCTCATTCCTTCCCATGCTTTTAAATACCATCTAAATGCTGACCATTCTAGTACTCATCTCTCCCATTCAGACCTCTCTCCTCAACTCTAGACTCACATGCCAGCATCCATTTAACAACAGACACTCAGGTATAAAATAGGCATCTCAGACTTAACACATCTGAAACCAGGCTTCTGCCCTCCCCCTAGAAATCCCACTCCTCCTCTAGTCTTCCTCATTTTGGTTAATGGCAACTCCATCCTTCAGTGGCTGAGGCTAAAAGACTTTGAAGCTGCCCTTGAATCCTTTCTGTCTCTCATACCCAACATTTAGTCTATCAATCAATCAATCCTGTTGGCTCTACCCTCAAAATACATGCAGAACTCAACTAATTCTTACTTCTACTGTTACCACCAGGTCCAAGCCACCACCACATCTCACCTGGATTCACAGAATAGCCTCTGGCTTTCCTGATTCAACACTTGCTTCCCTTTGAGTCCACTCTCAGTCTAGCAGCCAGATTCATACATGCAGTTTTTTTGCTTTTTTTTTTTTAAACAGGAAAGTCAGATCAAGTTTTTCTTCTGCTTAGTTCAATACCATCCAGTGGTTTCCCACCTCACTTGGAGTAAACACCGAGTCTGCACAGGTCTGGGAGGCCCCAACCAACCTGGGCTCCGTTACGCAGCTGATCTCTCCTCCCACCCTCGCCCTGTGCATTTCTGCTCTTTTCTCTAGGACAGAAGACAGCTTTCCCTAATCATCTGATGGGCAAGCCCCCTCCCCTCTCAGGTGGTTCTTCCTGACCTCCTGCTGTAGAACTGAACCCCTCTGTGCCACGTCCTATTTCCCCTTGCCTGCTTTCTTTTTCTTTAGAGCCATTATTGCCATCGAAGATACTCTGTGTTTTTCTCATTCATTTTACCGTCTGTTTCCCTGACTAGGATCTTAGCTCCACGAGGGCAGAGATTCCAATATGTCTTGTTCCTTGTTTTTAACTGACACCTGGCACCATACACACCATCAGTTTGCTGAATGAATGAATGAATCTCACCTTTCCTCCTCTAGGAACAATTATGGCCCAAGAATCTAAAAGTTGCATGTTGCCAGAAACCACCACCATCCTGTCCTTTTCATGGGAACTTTCATCACGGCTACAAGTCTGGACCTACCTGGAGAGCAGTTTACTTTCCCACATACCCTCTCCCTCCACCTGCAGTCATGCTGCTGGGTCATATCTGTGTCCCCAGGTCTCCTGTATCTAAACAACTCTTCATCCTGTACATCTTCCTTCCATGTTGCCTCTAACACCAGTGATGATTTTTATAATCCAAATTAACAACTTGTGTGGCCTGTAGACTTAAACTTCTACTACTTAGCTTTCTTTTAAAAATCAATTTTCCTCAATTTACTATCAATTTAGAGTATTTTACTATTTAATACAAATACTGTATTTATAAATACAGTATTTACCACAAAATACTGTGATTAGCTACATTCCTAAAAGGAGTATTAGTTTAATGTGTTTTAGATAAATGCCACTTAATGACCTTCTAAAAATGTGGTTTATGTTGTGAATACCCCTGAAATGGTTTCTTCCATTTGGGGAGAGTTTTGTATGGAATTCATATCATCAGTATTATCCAGGATTATCCATTATCCTCTGGATAATGGATTCATGGTGCTCAGGCAACATGTTATTACTGAATTGGAGGGGGAAAAAAGGTGGTATTTTTCCAGCATATTATTGGTACTTCAGGCCTCCAACAGCAAATATTAACTTTCTCGTAGGGTACAGACCGGACTGTGTCCCTATTTCCTCATTCATGTGTTGAAGCCCTGCCCCCAACATGAAGGGATTTAGAGACAAGGCCTTTAAGGAGTTCACCAAAGTTAAAAGTGGTCCCAAGGGTGGCCCTGATACAGCAGGACTAGTGTCTTTCTAAGAAGAGGAAGAGACACTGGATGCTCTGAGAGTATTCACAGAGGAAAGGCCAGGCAAGGACACAGAGAGAGGCGGCCATCTGCAAGCTCGGAAGAGTGGCCTCAGGAGAAACCAATCTGCTGACATCTTGATTTGAACTTCCAGCCTCCAGGACTGTGAGAAAATTACTTGCTGTCATGTAAGCCATCTAATCTGTGGTGCTCTGTTACGTCAGCCCACGCTGACTCATACCACCTCTTTCTGCAAAACTGGAATTAACTGTAGGATGGACGAAAACTGGCAAAAATCTTACTTCCTATCTCAGAAATGACCTTTCACATAAACTAATGTCAGTGTACAAGCCTGCCATAACCCCGGTCTCCAGACTTTCCCAGACAACTGCAGAAAGGTTATCTGCCTGTGTCAATTACGGATGCAAGGTGGGAGCAGGCAGACACACAAAGGTGACGGAGGGCATTATGGGCTGCAGGAGCTGAAGTCTGGCTGCAAATACAGTCGCTGCAACTTTAAAGGGCCATCGGGGCCACAAGCAGACAGAGAAGCCCAATGACACCACAAATACGGAGATCTCAGAGTAACACATCTTTCAAATCTTGAAATATTTCAAATCTATCTTCTAAAATATATCAACAGGTTAGAAAGCACCATTTAAAGTTTACGTTGGGTGAGTTACCAATGTTAATGGCCGTTTCCTGCTTGTCTCCCGTAAGGATCCAGATTTTGATGTCGGCTTTCATTAGAGTTTCTATGGTTTCAGGCACTTGATCTTGTAATTTATCCTCAATGGCTGTAGCTCCAAGTAGCTGAAGATTCTGGAGAAAAAGAGTGAAAAATTTTGAGAAGAAAAAATAAAAACAGTTTAGATTCTTCCAGAACAAAAAATTGAAGCGTGTACATGTTTTAAAATCTGAGACTAAGTGATAATTCATGGATTTAGTGTAAATTCCATCTCTCCCATTGAGTTGTCTCTCTAAAGGGCCCTTGACTTTCATGCAGTACTTTTGGCAGGAGACTGAGGCTCCCTGAATTACCTGTCTTACCTTACTCCTCTCCCTGAGGTAAGGAACTGATTCTAAACACACACACACACACACACAGAAAGGGGAAATCAAAAGCAGTTAAAAAGAAGCAGGCAGAGGCTAAGAACAAAGAAAAACAAAAACTATGGAAGATCACCGGAGTGAAGAAGCAATCTAGTTGACCTGCTCAAAAAAGAGTAAGGTTAGATGCTGACACTATTAACTTGTAATCCGATGCTGCAGCAGGAAATGTAGACACAATATACAATCAGAAAGAATGAAGACAGGAGCAATAAAAGTATTAGTCGCTGTAAGAAAGAACAGGCTGTGTTTTTCACGTGGTTCCATGTTAGTTAGTAGAAGGTCAGAGTCCATTAAAGACCTCTTGCTCATTAGATGGTATTTTTCATACGAGACCAAACACAACCAAAACACTCTGTGGAAAGCTGTTCTAATCTCTCACAAAGAAGAATGGCTTCTTCTCTCATCTTCCTAAATGGAGGGAAATAAAGAGAACAATCTCTTGGCAGTTAGGGAAACCTGGTTTGCCAAATGGAAACAGGTAACGGTGTTTTTGGTCTTAAATACAGAAGAATGTGCGATGAAGGACCAGTGATGGATTGAAATCTTTCTTTCCAGCCTGTTACCAGGCATTGTCACTCGCTGGGTACCCTTCCCAACTGTGTTCTGCAAGCCACAACCAACTGATTCTCAGTCTTAGCCTGTTTCCCCATAACCTAACCTCCAGTGTGATCTACTTCCGGTGTTACTCTTCTCAACCATTTTCTCCTTTCTCCACTTCATTTTTGTTTAAAATACCAGACAAGGACAGAATAGATAAAAGGGAAATAAATACTGTGGTTAGTGTTTGGCTTTGTAATAACAAAGAAAGCAACAAAGAAATCATTCCACTTTCTATCTTTTCTCTAATATTAAGTCTTATTTACTTTTCACCAAAATGCAAGTCTAAAAATAGTCCCAAGTCTTGGTGGGCATGGAAGATAAAGTTAAATACATACACAAACGTGTAAGAGTGAGTGTGTATAGTTGATGTGTATTACTTAGGAATGTTTTTGGCTATAAATAGTAGAAAAATCAGACTAAAGCTGCCTTAAATAAATTATTTAAAGAATATTTATTAATTAAATAAATTCCGTATTTTGTATATAATTAGTACTGAAGTGGGTAGTTGTGGGTATAAGATTGTTAGCTTGACCATATTTCAACTCATTCTCCAGACCTCTCTCAATGCCTCAAGGTGGCTGTTGCAGCAATAATGATAACAGCCACACTTAAGAGAAAAAGGCGGTAAAACCAACTGTATCCATCTCTTACTTGAAAAGCAAAAGGGTTTCTAAAAACATATTTCCAAACACTGCAACTGGCCAGATGGTGTTACACGGCCATCCATCCCTAACTATTGGTATTTATCTTTTCCAGCCTCCCTCGTGGAGGTGGCAAGTTGGGACGGGGATGGGAATAGGTATTAACTGGCCAGCCCACAGCCTCTGGCACAAGGCTTACACAGAGGCGGGCATGCGTGTGCATCAGTGCTTGTATGTACCTGCAGCAAGTGCTTACATGTGCAGGTACCTGCACAGAGACACACACACAGCCCCACTACTGTCCTGCATGGGGAAGCGCGGCTCGTCCTGTATGTCCAAACTCAAAAGCTACCACTTCTTTGAAGTTTTCCCCTCTGCTGTGTTCTGACAGAACTTTGCTCATCTTTACACTTCTTAATTTATCATATTAAGATTGGATATTTAAATGTATGACTCTGGTAGTTTTTGTTCCAAAGTAGGGACCGTATCTCCAGGCTCCTTGTTTCACAAACAAGGAGACAGAAGCCCAGAAAGGAGCAATGATTTGTCACAGGGACATAACTTGGTAGATCATGGAAGGGCAGGGCTTGGACCAGGATTCTCTGTACTGCCCATGCCATGTGTCCCTCTCTGTCCCTGATGGTGCCCAGTACCATGCTCAACTCCGTCTCTGGCCCATAAATGTCGGCTGAAGTAAATTCAGTTGGCAACAGTGTATCAAGGGCTAGTGCTGACTTCTCTATGTAAGTACTTCTCTACTTAAGTAGTAAGTAGGAGGACGAAGGAACAAATGCAGCTCCTATTCTGGATGTAGACTTATGTCCCTGTTTGGCCTGGGGGGCGGTGAAGGGCCCCAGACTGGGGCATATTTCTTGTAAGAATGCTGGCCTTGGCACTAAGTGCTGATGCAAGGAAGGCCCTGTGAGACGAGATGCACCGCATCAGATTCTGGGGTGAGGCTAAGTTAGGGCTCTGAGGAGTCTCTGGTCTCTGACCACCTATAAATACAGTGCAATTTTAAGCTGGGAAAAAAAAAAGTAGGGACCATATCTTGTTCACCTTTATATTGCATCTCCAGAATACTGACAGTCAGCGTTGGGTATATTTGCTGAGTGGGTGAATGACCAAAAAAAAAAAAAAAATCCAAATGCTATAAAGTATTCTAGACCATTTTCTCTTCAGCACATTCAAATAACTTCTACAGCTATTAGATACGCTTGATGCATGATTTCTTAGTATATAAGACAGGAAGGCAAATTTCCTTCTTTAAAAAGATGGCGTTATTTTATTCTCTTTAATGGGAAGCAGATTTGAAATCTATCAAAACCCGATGAATGATCATCATCAAGAAGCTCAAGAATGAGAAGGAAGAGCAGCTCAGCATCAGTGGTGCCAGCATCACAACTGCTGCGTCTCAGGCTGAGACCACGCTGTTACCAGTCCTTCCAGTTCCTCTCAGGACATCAGCAGCTAAATCATTCTGGCCGACGTCCCGGGGAAGGTCAGAATATAGCTGTGTTCAACTGTTAGCTACTCTACAGAAGGCATAATAAGATTTTAAATGACCATGAGGGTAGTTCAGTCATCCAAGCTCTCAAAGTTTTTAAACCAAAAAGTTATTTTTTTGTAATTACGTTTCACAAAACCCTAGGGTAACCAGATAATATGAGAGCCAAGTTATGAATACACTAATTAAAAACGGATAAACAAATATATTGGTATATGTTCTAGTTCCACTCTTTGGGGATGAATGTGCTGGGTAAGCATGAGGGTATACACTACCCTGCAGAAATCTAATAAAAATAAAATGACTGCACTGGGGAGATCACACTGAAAGCATATCTGAAAGAAGGGAAACACCTGGTTTTGCACAGGTAAAAAGGAAACGTTTTCTAAACTGGGCATAAACAATATAAAATACCAACGAGGCAGGGCCAGCAATGTGTATGCTGAGAAAAGTTACAAGGAGGTTAACTTGGAGTGTGTTGGTGACTAGGATAACAGGAATTTCTAAAAACGGTAGTGAAATGTTTCTGAATATTTGGCAAAATTGCAGTGGGTCTGCTTTGATGCCTACGAAAGAAAAAGGTGTGTTTGCAAGCCTGTTAATTCCCCCTTTATCCCAGGAGCTCCTCCAGCACAGCACTTACTAATTGTAGTGCACGGCTCCCCAGCCTCCTTTCCTCTGGCCCTGGTGTCATTTATTGTGAGATTAGATCTTGAGTGATAGGCTGTTCTGCCTCTGGAAATTAATATCTTTAGCTACATAATGATCGTTAGGAAAAAAGATTTGAACTTTGCGTGCTTTTCCTGATCATAACACGAGCGTTCAGGCTGTAATCAATTTCATCCCAAACATGTATTACCTTACACAGATGGCCACTAATGGCCACTGTGGGAATTACATAGTCAGCAAGTGTTGAAATGGGATAAAATTCCCATGGTATTTATGGAATTAAAAGAAAAAAAAAAACCTTCCAACACTAATTTTACTTTCAAAATGTCACTGTGCCAAAAGTTATAAAGGTTTCAGTTGATGGCTCTTTGACATAATGTAGATTTAGTTATCACTAAAAAATCATGGAATAATATTTACCTAGTAAAGCCC